GCCCTAATTAGATCAAATTGAAAACCTAATGTTATTCTTTTAGTTCAGATTGATAATAAGAGTAATGAATTTGAAGATTCAAGGTGTAGATTAGTTCTCGTTACTTTTTAATTCACTTAACGATAAAGATTGACGTTTAATATATTTTACTTTTTTATTATTTTTTCTGGTTAGCGTTTTTTAGCGAGTTAGTTTTCTACGTGATGGGATCGCTAACCCCATGCCCAACCCTCCTCCTTTATCCAGGCTTGGAACCGGGATTAGCCTCAGAGGGGCTCCAGGAGGAATGATTTATTAACAGCTATCTACACTAAATACTTCGGATCCGTTTGACAGACACTATCAGCAATAAGCTACTGGGAGAGAGAACAAACCAGATTCCAGAGGAGGAGGAAATCAGGAAGAATAGCTGGAAGTGGATAGAACACGTATTGAGGAAAGCACCGAACTGCGTCACAAGGCAGGCCTTCACCTAGAACCCTCAAAGCCAAAGGAGAAGATAAAGACCAACGAACACGTTACGCCGAGAAACGGAGACATACATGCGAAGAATGAACAACATTTAGATAGAACTATAAAGGAAGTCTCAGGACAGAGTGGGTTGGCAAATGCTGGTCGACGGCCTATACTCCATTGGCAATAACAGACGTAATCAAGTAAGTAAGTTTAATATATTTTATCGTGATCAGTAGATGTGATACCAAGTGATAATGTAATGTAGTTTTGGAAACGAAAAAAGTATCTGCTGATTTCAATAGTTAACTAACTTAAATCAGTCTGTATTCTGACTAAACTTTAATCTCTAAAAACCTCCCTATACTAATAATAATTATGTACTGACTAATAAATAGAGTAAATATGCAGTTTGTGAAGTTCTAATGAAAAGCCATGACCAGTGAAGTTTAAGAATATTGAGTGTTAGACAGTTGTTTACCATAAGCAATAGTTCATGGTTGAGGAATATTGTGAGTTGATTAAAATTAGATATGAACACTGTTAGATGTCGGCTTAGTGATTCAGACGTTAAATGTTCACACACAAGATCGGAAGTATTGTGTTCGACCTTAGTGTCTGGGTCTTGGATGGGCACTTCTGAGGATTGCCATACTAGAACGAAACGGCTATTTATCGTTTTTAAGTTTTCAATGGTGATCTAGCTAAGATCAGTTCATGATTTAAACTGAAAGTTCTAAAATCTCCAAAAAATTACTATATTAATCTTAACTTTATTTTGACAATAATCCTAAATCTAATAAACCGTAATTTCAAATGAACTTAAATATTTTCTTTGGAACATTAGTTTGCATTTATAACTATAGAAAGTGATGAGAACTTATTGAAAAGAATATTCTTTGTCCATATGTCCGTATTTTCACTATGATCAAAAATTTTCAAAGATAACAAAGAAAATTGTTGTTTGATGCTGTTTATTGGCAATGTCAGTATGTGTTAGTATAAGTCTGGGAACTGATAATGGATAAATCGATCATAGTAATATGACTAGTTGGTCCAAGGATACAGTGATCTCTATTAAACTTATAGACCTCGGGTTCGGTCGTTCCAGGTGTCGAGTTCAATGCCACGAAGTTACATACTAAAAAAAATTCTCAATGCCCACTAATTTTTAATGATTTTATAGGTGAAATCAACTTATGAAGTCTAACCTTATATTTACGGAATTATTATTATTAGCTTTATTCAGTGTTATATTTTTGAAGTAATGTAAACTTCACAGCTCGAATTATTTCAACAAATTTCCGTCTCTTATATCATTATCGATCCTGATGATAAATATTGAATAATCGCCAGTCAGATATAAGTAGTTCAGGAACCGACATCTGGTTAATGTACATTCTTTTTGATGGATATTGCCAGAAACCACAATGTCTTTGATTGAGCTCTTTTGTAACTTATACAGCGAATGGTCGTAAACTTTTCACAAACGCGCCTAAATAGGTTATGTAATTAATTGACACAATGCTATTTTTAAAACAATAAAAAAAGATAAATTGTTGGAATATCTAGATAGCAGGAACAGGTTGCCCAGATATTTAAACAGGCCGCCTCATGAATCACCTATGAACCTTTGCATGCTTTATCTACGACGACTTTGTGATGAATGTAAAATATAGTTTTGTTCAATAAAGATGCAACTCATCTGTTCATGTGCTTTACTTCCAACAAATCAGTCGGAGTTTCGTACACCACATCCATCCGTCGAGGTTTAAATAATCAGGTATTTTGACATTTGGATTTGAGTCAATACTTGAAGCCCTTAACCCGGTATTTTAAATATCGAAATTTTGGTCAAGTATTATTTCATTTTGTACTACTGAATAAATAATCCATTGCACCACTTAAAACTCTGTACTGATTGGATGGGATTTGTCAAACAAATTTCAAACTTCTTCAGCTGAACATTGTTGCATGTAATGCAAATGGACAACCGTTATGTTCACAATTTACCTATACCTGGACTCTGAGGAAAAGTCGGAAAGATTGTCAGTTTATGATATGGCTCACGAAGAATGAATAGTATTTTCATTGGATTAGGATCTGTCTGTTCATTACAACTTTTTGAAGAGGGTCCTAGAGACTCTGTAGCCTCAATAAGTTCAAAAGTTATCAGAAATGGCTCTGAACGTAAGTTATTAGTTATTCTATTTTAATTTTTTATTCCATTCACCAGTAATATTGAGATCCACCTTCTAAATGAGTTAAATCTATTTCAGTAATATTCTCATTTAAATACTTGGATACATCTATTCCTTTATATTAGTGCTATTTCATTTTTTTTGTGACGCATTTACTAATGACTTTCTGTAACAAATTTTCTGATCGACTTTTTTTTAACTTCAGAAATTGACTGACCTGGGAAAACTTATCTGAATTGTTGGAAGAACAGTGAATTGATTATTTTTATCATTACCGTAAACTAACATGTATGTTGGTCAAATAGATAATGTTACCGATTATAAAACTTTGTACGAAAAGGATTTTTGCAATCGCTTGACTAAATTTGAGATCTATATAAATACTACAGACGCTTTTTTTAATTCATCGGATTTTCTTAAGACACGAATATTCTCTTATAAAATCCAGTCTCTTCTCTTTTGTGTATGTGTGTATGTGATGTTTGAATGAACTAATGATACCTTTGTACTTGTCGAATGCTTATTTCGAATTCTAAATACAGTAAATTCGTTTGTGGTTATCTAGTACTTCTTGATCCAAATACGTTATTTCTGGGATCCTTAATTCATACTATAATTCAAATACTCCTAATTATCATAGTGTAGTTGTGTAATCGTATATTAGTCATTCAACTTATCTATTCGCGTGCAATCAGTACCCATAGTAGTCGTTTGTCAATCTTATTAGAAATACAAGCACAAAACACAGGAAAACTAACGAATCGGGTTAATGTTTTCCATTTAACCCCGTATTTTAATTTCGTAATTCAGAATAATTGATGTGTAAAAGTTATGTTAAACGTAACTAACTCAAAGATCTAAATGCAGTGGGCTACCTAGAATAATGGAAATTTGTATGACTTATCCTATTACAAGTTGACCCAACTTATTTATAATAAGTCTCATAATATTGATTAGCGATATATATATATATATATATATATATATATATATATATATATATATATATATATATATATATATATATATATATATGATTTTTCTTCCCAATAAACTCATTTTACCTATGCAACTAAACGGAATGACTTCAGAAGCATGATGACTTACAACTTCGATTCGGACTATCCAGCTTCACACTCTATCCTAGTTACCAACGTTTAGTATGAAAATTAAGCGTTAAAGCATTTAAATTTCGTCGCTATTAGTGAGAGAAGTCAAGGTATGTAGGAAGCTGTTTGTTGTAGCCTTCCAGATCAGTCACATCGGTTGCTATTTTAAGGAAATTGGCTTGAGTTTTAGTGAGATATTCGAGAACTTAATTTCTATAGTATACTGGCTGAGATATTAAAAGGTAACAGACTTAAAGCAGTTAGTCCCATTAGTAGATTTCAATAATACAGTGAGAATTCAAAGTTTTTCATCAAAAACCAGATCATGTACATGATGGCTTCATGTCCACTATTTAACAGTTTACAAGTGTACACGGACACGTCTACATAGGGAGACGTAATTGCGATTCGCAAGTAAGTGTAGCTGTAGATATTTCAAAAAGGTAACAAAAGCAAACGAAATCAAATAACCATACAACAGAGAAGGATAATCATCCACCTTTCCTCATTTCTAAACACAGTTATGGCTTTGTATAGAAGGTGTCTGGGCCAAATAATTATGTTCATTGAAGTCTTAGCTGTGCAATAGTTCAAATCCCTTCTGTATATTCAAAAACAGTTTATACTCACTCTAATCGTATCCTTCTACTAAACGTCGAATTGTTATCCAGAGTGACAGGGTTCACACTATTTTTCACTATTATTTTTATTTTTCTCTTAGATTTCAATTTATCTAATTGACCTATTTTTATCAGAAGGGGTTTTGTAGAGATTTTAGTAATTTCAATAGTTGAAATCATGAATCAATTGAAGTTAGACTACCATGGAAAATCTGGAAGCACTAGACGGCCGTTTCTTTCTATTGTGGGACTCCTCAGAAGTGTACATCCACAATCCCTCACCACGAGATTCCAACCCAGGACATATCAATCTCGAGCGCGAACGCTTGACCACTAGACCACTGAGTCAACCGGCATCCAACAGTGTTAATGTCAATCTTCAACCAATACACGAAATTGAGTGACACATCCACCATTGTCTTCACTGAGTTATTATCTTACAACAGACCCTGTTGAACTCGATTGATCACTGTTTCTCACTAGAACTCCAGCAAACACCTCTTAAAACAAGTTACTAGTGACGGGGTTGATCAACTCATTACTGATAAACTGGACATTAATTTCTTTTTTTTGAATTAGTGTTTGAGAGGGTATTCGAAGAATATTGCCTACTAATCTTAATCATCACTAGAGTCGACATATCCACTTGAAGTGGTTGACTTCTGAGAGTCATTACGACCAATATTTGTTGTTATCGTCATATTAGTGTTAGTAATAATATTTGCTGTTGTTGTAATAATAATAGAAGGATCAATAGAAGTGGTAGTTCCAGACATAAAATTAGCAGGACATGGTGCTACAACATCAATAACATCGTTATCAATGATTAAATCATCGTGTAAAGGCGGTGTTTTATCTGATTGTTTTGATCCAATGAAGCATCATCAAATATCGAAGCAACGCCCACGAATTTAGGAGTTGAAGTGTCTGAAGTGGAAATAGTTCCAGATGATGTTAAAATATCGTTATGATTTTCTGATATTTCTTCCACTGTTTCATCGTTGTTCATGTGATCATCATCAATATCATCAATTTCTTCTTCATAATAATAATCTTCATCTTCATCTGTAGCAGATGGTGCACATCCGCTGTCATGAATAACATTCACTGTTTTCTGTTCTGGATCATTAGATTTTGTGATATGATTTGAGAAATAGTTCTTGGCATTTTCCAATTGATTCAATATCAGAAGAGCTAAATAATATTCCAAATATGGCTTAGTTATCAAGTGTCGAATACAAAAATTAATAATAATAATAATAATAATAATAATAATAATAATAATAATAATAATAATAATAATAATAATAATAATAATAATAACCGATATGATGTATAATAAATGAAGCAAATAATCACAAATACAAATCATGTTTTATATCACGTTCTATTGCTAAAGTTCAATAGGCTATAGATTAAATAATTCAGAACAAATGTTATTATTAAAGAAATAATTTAGATGTTAATATTGAAAAGATGTTTAGATATTTTGCCCAAAAAATTATTTTTAGTCTAATGAATGGATAAAATAGATTTTTTATTATCAAAATAAATCAATGAAATCTGACGTATAAACAAAACAAAATATATAAGATGGATGGTGACTAGCAGTGGAATCCAGTTTAGACGCACGTTTCATCCTGTTTGGGACTCGTCAGCTGGATGTTCCTGCATCCCAGAGTTGATGTTCACTCTGGGACTCGAACTCAGTACCGTTCGCTTCAAACGCCATCACGTTATCCACCTAGCTACTGAGTCCTGATAGACACTTGCTTGTGCAATGGGGTGAAGTTTAATTCACTTGATATTGTTTTATTTGAATCTTCCCATTGATGTTTTAGAACTGATATTGAGGCAATATCGTGACATACGCACAGTATGCACATATACCAATAAGAGACTGATCAATTTCAATCCTAAAACATCAAATGGAAAGATTCAAGTAAAACGGTATCAAGTCAATTACTATATGTTATGTTATTTAACTATTTTCAGATATTCACAATATGACTTAGATTGGCTAATAAGGTAAATTTATTCAATACATTTATGATAATAGTCTTATTTCATGGGTTGAAGACAGTATGGTATTTCAAATGCTAGTGTAGTGAACAGAACATGGGTAGGGACAATTGGATATATTTAACACAAAGTTACAGGACTTGTTAATAAAACCTAACAATCATAAAGTAAATGCTTAATTTGCAAAATGTCCATCGATTGTCTCAAAATAACTCAGACTTGTTTTTGCATTTTCATACCAACTGCATTTTGTTTCCATTCTTTACTGTTCGATCCTCTTGTCTCTTTGCTGTCAGACTTTCTGTTCACGACTAATATTATATACTACTTATGTCAATATAAGTAGAACACACCACACTAGTAACTCTCAAAATGTATTGTTGTTTTTTTGTTTTCTCTGAACTGGATGATATAACTATATTCTCATTAGGGACAAAATGAATTGTGGATTAATTCACTGTTTAACTTGGAAAAAAACTGAAATCTCATGCACCATCCAATCTTACAAGTTATTTGATTTGATTTGAAGATGACTTATTTAGTAAAACGAAATAAGATACGTTAATGTTAGAATTATCATGCAAACTGTTATATAGAATAAAATCAGTTTGATTTCTTGGATAACTTTATATCTAAAGAAATATTGGATTATACTTTCACTGAGTGAACTTTGTGCTTTAACAAAATTAAGTGGTTGGAGTCTGGTATTTTGTTATTGTTGTATAGTTTAATCACTATTCTTTGACTGTTGCTTATTAGACATTTCTTCCTTAAAGAATGTCATAGCATCAGATTTTCAACTTATCTAATTTGTATGATTGAACTGAATTAAAAGGTCCCATAAAGGTTCGTAAAGCGCAACTGAAGAACTTATTTGCTAGGTATAATGAGCTTAGCATATTAATCAATGTTTCTTTGTATATATATTATGTTCTTTGAAAGTTTGTGTATATTGTAGTATTTTTGACTATACACATGGATCATAATTGTTGCTGCCTACAAATGATGATGGTGAATCTGCTGACGTAAATAAAGTTTACAGTTTATTATGATACCACGCTTGTGAGTGCAAATCCATCCTAAAGTATAATTCCACTCTTTGCATGTTTGAAAGACATGTCGACCATTCTCCGTTTTTTGTGAGTTCAGAAACTGACTCCCTTCATAATCTCCGCCTGAAAGGATCACGTCCGTATGTAGTACATTTTTTTGAAAACTAACTCATTCCCATAAATCGATATAACTAAACGAAATAGTAGAAGCCACCTCCACAAGCACTAGTTTGAGTTCATATGAACGCTTAATTCAGTCTTCGTCGATAAGAGACCCAGCCATGTGGATATACTGAGGTAAAACTTCTCTCTCATATTATTACAGCAACTATTGACTGCATTCAGATCTATGAGTATCATGCCCCCAAATGCCGTGGTACGGTTGAGGATGGGAAAAGTTCGCTCTCCCTCTCCGAATGCTCTCATATAGCAACATGTATACAACCGCTGTCAGGGAAGTCCTACTCATTGCTTTCTCGCATTCAGGGTGTTGTTTACGAAATTGAGAGGACGAAAAGCGAATGTCCGGAGCTTTAACAGGGTTGGTGGACATAGGAGATCTACCTAGAGGAGTTGGAAAACCCTGGTCCCAAACCAATGGTTCACATAAACTCCAGGATCCTGAGGGAACAAACCACATATGAACTTATTATTGGTCACCGGCTACCATTGGATTGCATCTCCTGACATTGCTCCGTTTACTTGTGGGTTAGAGCTTTAGAGCAAAGGCTCCGGGTGTGGCTCCCTAAGAAAACAACCCGCTTTGGTTTGGGTACCCGGGAAGTATCCCAGCCCACATGCAAATCAAGTGACTTTTGTGACGTATATGTATTCGGTGCCCTTTTTTACCAACATTTGTGTTCAAATAAGTAAATATGAATACCATAACATTCGATAGTCCACTAGTAATACAAATAATATTCGTGAATAAACAATCCACCATATTTTATAATAAACTTAAACTAGTCCTATTTCAAAGTAAATAATAAAAGTAATATTTTCTAAGGTGAAATTTGCTGCAGTCAGTGAGCAACAACGTAGAACTTCGTAAGTACGTACATCAGTTCGAGTTGCCATACCACATTAGCATGCAGACACAATTGTCGATTCATATCCCATAGTGGTAGAGGTAGTAAGAGTATAAGCAGTAATCGGAAGCATTGGAGTTTGAAGATGGTATTCAACGAGTATAATCCAGTGAAATAAATTTGGCGAGAAAAAAAAAGAATTTGACGAATTCAGATTAGAATTTGGGAGAACACAAAAAATGGATGAACCCACGCCATTGCAAACGATTTCGAGCCATGTCATCCAAGGTCTCTAACCATTGTCTTGTGGATCCCAACTAGGTAGTCTACACCTACCAAAAAAGCTCAGACCAGAAGTTAGTGACTTTATGGACTGATGCCACGTTTTGGTCTGGCCGCCCCTAGCTTTCTTGCAACCTAGTCCTAAACTTTAAGACATCGCTCGTCGGTGGTTGGACATACGTAACACATGTCCCAGACATTGGTGCGACAGTCAGTTAATTATATTATGAAATTGGCAATGGGATGGTCACACTATTATCTTCATATTGATTACTGGAAAATCAAATGAAGCAAGTACCTATATTTATTTAGAAAAATAACACCGATACAGCAAGGCGAAGTTATATTTTACTCAATCCAACATACTGTTTCATTAAAGAATATGAGGTTTTACAACAGAAAGTAGCTAACTGTACAATACAAGTAAATTGGAAAAAAAAAGTAAAAAACCTGGAACTCAGTTATTAATGTAAACAATCAAATTTCGAAAACAAAAAAGACAGCATACACACATTCATCACATACATGAACTAAGTATTTTGACGTCCAAAACAATAGGTTTGAAATGTATAAAAATTAGTATAGGTAATTTCTACCGTTGAATTATTATTTTTTTAACAACACTAGTGATCAGTCGAAGGAGCAATTGAGCAAATCGACTGAAAACTACTCATTTCTCCAGTTTGATTTTCTAAATAACAATTAAACATAAGGAGAAGAAAAAGAAATGTACAATTATGATAGTAGTAATAACAATAGTAAAGTGGTACCCAACAGAGTAGAATTAATAAACAATGTTTTAATTTTTGTATGCTTCTACAACATGCAAAAAAGAGAACAAGCCTTTTGAATAACAAGACTTGTAGGTATGAAAGTAAATGAAAGCTGTTTAATAACTTAGAAACAAAAGATTCCAAAGAGGATAGTTCACACTGATTAATCCAATCTCAATGATATAGGACAAAATACGACTGCTTTTTTCCACAAAAAGACATATATAGGGAAAATCTAAACTTTTCGACGTAGAAAGAGATTTTTTGAAAAACTGTGATAAATGACAGCAATGAACAGGGGACAGTAGTCATAAAGTTATTCACCTGACGCTTTAATTATAGTCTTAAAAGCAAAGAAATTGGAGATGCAATATTTCAAGATTTTTATAATTTCCCTTTCGCTTTAGCCCCACGAGGTGGAGTAATTGGTCGGCTGCCAGTTGGGACACCAACGTAATACTTTTTCTTTTCAGCTGGACGCAAAATCTACAAATGAAACAAACACGAAAACCGAACGAATTAATGATAAAACAACAAGCAGATTATCTAAAATAGCCGTCCACACAAGTTGTTTATTAATTATTTGTAATAGTTTTATGCCATATTTTACTCAAGACAATCTTCTATGTATGTCTGATTGCATTCATCCTTGTTGTGATATACGGTTGATGAAGTTAATGATAAATAATTTGAGAGCGCAGTAATGTTCAGAAAAAGGAAACAATATATTCCAATGTTTGATAAAAATTGTTACTACACTTTGTGGTAAATATATTTGTCAATATACTAGTTGGAAAGGTGGTTCAAAATCTGTCAGTGTTACAGATAAATTTATTGATTATATTTGTGATTAATCAAAATTCCTCTATTATTTAATATTTCTTTATTCAGTGAGTTTCTATTTTTACGAACCTTTTTCTATATTTAGTTCTTGTCATTATTTTTGTCCTAATTTTCACAATGGGAATCATTAATATTCTTTTCATTATCACTGATACTGGTATTAATTCGACTTCTTCACCACTGAACTTTTTAATTTTATATCACTATGCGGCAATTTGGTACGATAGATATATGTGCTAGTTCTAGGTTGACTATGACTGATTGTCCTCTCAATAATTATGATAAACAAACATGATACCTTTAAGAAGAAATGCCTTTTGCCTTTTTGGTAATATATATGAATGGATGCGAACCGTATATAACTTAAGCTTAATTCACCGTCATATTCGCGTATAGTAATTAGCTGTAAATATAATTATACTGTGTTTAACTATTTTAGGCAGACATAACTGTTGCTAATTAATAACAGTAATAGTCTACAGTAAATATTAATACGAATAAACAGTAGTTTTAATTATTATTGTTAATCATTTACCAAAAACAAGTCAATGTACCTAGTTTTGAGTCACATCTTTGACGCGGGAGTTAGTTGGCTACCTGAGAACAACTACCAAAAGTCGAGTTCTTTAGCCATTAAACCACTGCTTTCTTAATTATCAACGACAAAATTCTATTTTAAAAAGGTTTTATTAAATCTTCATACTAAGTAGTTAGGTGAATAATTTTAAAACACCCATCAATTGTGTTTAAAAGAAGTAATTGTTAGTCCTTTTCCATCATTGTGAAGAAACCCTCAGATGTAAGAAGCTGGTAAAAACCTAAAGTAAATTAGTTTTACCACTTATAATGTTGCCTTTGCTCGTTTAGCGTTAATAAATGGAACTATATGAGATTTGGTAAATAATAGTTTACATCTGGGTCTGAACTAGTTTTTCAGGAAGTCTATCTGAGACTATTAGTAAGAATGAAGTAGTAGCAGGAATTTCGAGGTTAATTCTATGTCGTATTTGTGTATGCTCACCACTTATCCAAGCATATCAAAAATAAGAGTAGAATACTATTAACACAATTTTCAACCTTACTTGAAATGAGCACAATAATGTATCATCTACTGACATCATAGCTCCTGCATTATCAAATTCACCGCAATAATTCGGGGCGGAAAAAAGAGTAACTAATTGACGCTTGGCGAAGAATTCATAACCGTCTTCGACAACCTGAAGTTGTGAATGAGAATTTTTTTAACGTTACCTGGTGAGCACGGCATATTAAATCCAAATCATGTTTATGTAAAAATCTGGCCACAATATCTGGACCAAATGTATAACTAACACCGCGATCGTTTTCACCCCAACCAGTTACATCTTTATCTGGATCTGACCAAAGTAAATCACATAATAGTCCTTGATCAGGAACATCTGTAGGACGCATGATGCGTCTTATCTGTTCCATTGTTGAAAGATCTGGTGAGAGACCTATGATGGAATATCGCATAAAGTAAGAAACTAACCGCCATGACAGCAGAAAATCTTCTCGTCTATAATTGCTACAATCGGCAAACAATTGAAACAATCTGTGAAGGTTTTCCACAATTTTATATTATATCGACGTTTGCCTATATGTCAAATAAGCCCCAACTAAACACTTACATTCATCATAAAATCCATATATACGGTTAATAGAGGCACATTCATGATTACCCCTTAGCAAGAAGAAATTTTCTGGATATTTGATTTTATAGGCTAGTAGCAGGCATATTGTTTCAAGAGACTGCTTTCCTCGATCCACATAGTCACCCAAGAACAAATAATTTGCTTCGGGAGGAAATGCTCCATACTCGAAAAGACGGAGCAAATCATAATATTGTCCGTGAATATCACCGCATATTTTGAGGGGAGCCTCCAGTTCTAGTAAAATAGGTTGACTTAAAAAGATTTCGCGAGACTTCAGACACAGCCCGCGGATTTCTGCTTCGCTCATTTGGACGTTTTTGCCAGGACGAGTGCGTCGAACTGAATGACATGAAATAGAGATAAAAATATGACAGTATTCAAATCACAAAATGAGTGTTTAAATTTAAGTCACTTCAGTCCTGAAAGATTTCAAATATAGAGGCAATTAAATACTACTTAGATCCAGTAAGATCATTCGTTGGTCATATTGACAATGAGATTATCATAACAGAGTGAGAACCTACAAAACAATTATTCCAACATCCTACTACGTTAGAGACTGGTGTTCTGTACTGACTCATTTAATAAAGCGGTTTAGTAAATTCTGTGTAGCGATCTTTATGTTCTAATGTAAGATGAAAATTCACTACGCGCAGTGACCAAAACTATTCCGTAGTGTTTAATAAAGTTTATTAATCAGTGAATAAAACATGGTTACTAACGCGTATAATATCAAGTATTTTACCTTCATACGTGTTATGAGCTCTAATCTACAACAGTATATGGTTTTTAGTCTGACACAGGCACGAAGGCTGTGAAGTTTTCTTCTAATTAATCGAATAATTGGATTATAATAAGCTAAATCTCCCTATGGCCGTCGAAATCATGACTGATTTGTCTGTCAAATAAAGCCACTTCTTGGAAGTGCGTTTCACAAGGAATTTGGGTCAGTTAACAATATGAAGGCCACATAGAAATACTTTGGGTTGTAGTTTGCAAGTCCCTGTTTTTGTTATAGCAGATTTGGAATGAGATAATGCAAATGCATTAAGTTTAGTTCAGCCACCAGAGAAAGATTGCATATAAGGATATAATACAGGGAGAAAGAATTAGTTCGTAGAGAGAAAGGTATAAAGCAATTTTAATCTCATGGTTTAAGGCAAGACAAAGAGTGTATACACCTACACCACTGTGGCCGATTCTGAGCCATGTCACCCAGTCTCCAACTATTGGTTACGATAGTCACGCGGACCCCAACAAAGTAGTCTGCATCTAGCTACATGGCTCAGACTAGAAGTTAGTGACTTTATGGACTGATGCCACGTTTTGGTTTAGCCGCCCCTAACTTTCTTCCATCAGTCTCCAACACTAGTCAGCATTGCGCGTTATCGTAATCGGTGTTCATGCATACGTAACGCGTGGCCAAACCATCCTAGTCGATGAAGATTCACAACCTCATCAACCGATTTGCCATCATGATTCCTTAATACCCTGTGTCTAACCTCACTATTACTTACCCGGTGATCCCAGCAGATGCGAACAATATTTTAAAGACATCTGTGATCAAATACTAGTAATTTACGAGTATCTTATACTCATAATGGCCATGTATCGCAGTTGTAGAGTCGAACATAACGAAATGCTGTGTAGTATATTCGTCCCCTAATTGATAGACGGATATCTCGTCTTCACCATAGGTGACGTAAGTTGGTAAAAGCCAAACGAGCTTTCTGAATCCGTGCTGAGATTTCGTCAAACACCAACCCATTAGGGTTGATCAGACTTCCAAGATAAGTGAAATTGTCGACGCGTTCGACTATTCCACTCACTATCCTTAGTTCAAATGTTGACACAGGTCAGTCCTGAAGCAACAATTTGCATTTAGAGGAAGTGAAATGTATCCCCGACATCCTGTCATTGTTGTTCAGTGCTACCAAAAGATTCTGAATTTTGTCAGCGTCTTCACCAAACAAGACTATGAGGTATTTAATACTATTTAATACTTTACTCAAAAATAATATTTCCTTAGCAATTATATTCAGAAAAAATTTGTCTATTCTTCTTTTTGGATAACTTAACAATGATCAAATTTCCAAGGTAAGTGAAGTTTTCGACGCGTTCGACTATTATATTCTCTCATCGAATACATATACGCCATACAATAACAATGAGATTGTGAAGAGATAGAGAATAGGGGGTGTATAATAAAAGAAAAGCAACAACGAACAGAAATAATAATAATAATGGGAGAAACAGTTTAGTTGGGAAAAATACAATCAGAAAGAACTCTTCCAGCTAAAGAAGTTACGTTCACTTGTGTGGAGAAAGTAAAAGAAAGTTGCAAGACCGCCACTGGCCCCGGAACAGGGAGTCATGAAGGTCTAACAAAAGCCAGTTTTGTACAGCTTCCTTTCATACCACGACATCATGTCATACACTGACCATCTTATCCAACCGATCCTAGCGTCGACAAATAATGCACGGTGTGGAATTCGCTGGAACGACATCCGTGGAACATGTCGCTTCGTATCTTTCTTTCTACGAACTAACTTTCTTCTTGTACTGTCCTTATATGCTATCTTTTATATATTACCACCACTGAATGAACTACTATGAATTTGTTCATCTTATTATGCTAATGAAGTATGGCAACTTGGGCCGATGCACATATGTGCCTGGTCCTACGTTGTAGCTGACTAACTGTAGGACATGTCCAACACACCGAATTCGACGTTTCAAGATGGTGACACCAAATAAATCATCGTCGCTGAGCCCGAACACACGATGCCGAACCTCTGCATTACTTAGTGTTGCGCTGAATATCAGTAATCCTTCGGATACAAGGATGATCAAACACAGGGTCGTCTAATATCCTCAACTCGGAGGTCGAGTCTCACAAAAATGGAGCAAAACTGCTCTTACCGACCTGTTGTAGATCAGACCTTTTACAATCAGACTAATATCACGGTGACAAAGATGACCCAGATTAGCATAAGCCGTCTTGGCTTTTACTATACGTAAATCGACCACATCTTTCACGCCACCACCAGCTATCTAGACACGCGAACTACTCAACTACTTCTATCTATTAATTACCCAGGGTGGGTGCAGGTTCAGGGTCCTATCAGTCTTGTAGAAGTATCGCGTACTTGGAAGGTGCAAAGCACGTGCCATACCTCCAGACACTAACTGCCAACTCATTAAGTGTGGATTGCATGGATTGGGTATTATTGCACAATATCATCCGCATACTTAAGTTCGAAAAAACTTTCTGAAAGTATCAGATCCACACCACCACTCCCTACATCCACTAGAGCCGTTTCCAGAACGTCATCCAAATGTCCTGGTATGGTCGAGGGTGGGTAGAGTTCGCTCTCCCTCTCCAAATGCACTCATACAGCAACATGTATACAACCGCTGTCAGGGAAGTCTTACTCACTGCTTTCTCGCATTCAAAGTGTTTACGAAATTGAGAGGACGAAAAGCGAATGTCTGGAGCTTTAACATGGTTGATGGACATAGATCTACCTAGAGGAGTTGGAAAACCCTGGTCCCAAACCAATCGTGCACATGAACTCCAGGATCCTGAGTGAACAAATGACGTATGAACCAATTATTGGTCACCGGCTATCATGGGACTGCATCTCCTGACGTTGCTCCATTGCCTTGTGGATTAGACCTCTAGGTCGAAGGCACGGGGTATGGCTCCCTAAGAAAACCATCTGATTTGGTTTGAGCACCCGAGAAGTATCCCAGCCCTGACTCAAATCAAATGATGATTACTGGAAAAATTATTTTTGTGGGTGAAACAGTAAATAAATGGATATTTGAAGTCGACTTTTATGCTTGGCGAGCATACCTAGTAGCAGTAGAGCGACTTAAAACGTACTTGTGTCGCACGCTCGCATTCTACTTGAACCCTTAGACTTCTGTCATTCTGGAGGTACCTGAAAAGGGAATTGGATTAAAGGTGGTCTTAATGACCTAAGAGCGCGACCACAGTGCCCAAACGACAATTGATTGAGGTCGTGTTAGCTCTGTAATTGTTGAGACCTTACCGCCGGACGGTTATCCGAGGGATAAGGCGAGGTGTGCATTTTTAGGCTCGACTTTTTCTCACCTCCCCTTGTGGGGAGGCAGCATTGCTGTTGTGCTGATTGTCTGAAGGAGACACCTTACTGACGTCCCACCTCGGTACAATCAGCAATACGACTTCGTCTTCGGACCTTGGGTTTGCTGCTTTTAGTCTTATCATTCTTCAACCAACCTGTCTGGCATGGTAGAACCTTGAGGAACGATTGTTCACGCCAGTATAGCTCGATTGGTTCATCATGATAGGCAAGCCCGACCACCACGTCAAAGTAGCAACAAAGGTCGGGATACATGTGCCTAGTCCTACGTTGTAGCTGACTGACTTCAGACTTCTGTTAACGATGTGTGAAGCTGTTTTCAAAATCTACTTTAAGTATGCATAGTACATTCACGGGAATATTTTGAACTCTTCAAACTTAAATGTGAACTTTCCCTCATTCGCCAAATCTCGAAACGAAGTCAGACGTATTTTGAACCGTTGATTCGGGCGAAAAACCTTAGCTAATACCCACAAACGCCCTGATACGGTCGAGGGCTGAGAGTCACCCTCCTTATCGAAATGCTCTCATATGGTCGCGTGCACACAACTACTGTCAGAGAAGTCCTACTCACTGCTCACTACTCAACTACTTCTATCTATTAATTACCCAGGGTGGGTGCAGGTTCAGGGTCCTATCAGTCTTGTAGAAGTATCGCGTACTTGGAAGGTGCAAAGCACGTGCCATACCTCCAGACACTAACTGCCAACTCATTAAGTGTGGATTGCATGGATTGGGTATTATTGCACAATATCATCCGCATACTTAAGTTCGAAAAAACTTTCTGAAAGTATCAGATCCACACCACCACTCCCTACATCCACTAGAGCCGTTTCCAGAACGTCATCCAAATGTCCTGGTATGGTCGAGGGTGGGTAGAGTTCGCTCTCCCTCTCCAAATGCACTCATACAGCAACATGTATACAACCGCTGTCAGGGAAGTCTTACTCACTGCTTTCTCGCATTCAAAGTGTTTACGAAATTGAGAGGACGAAAAGCGAATGTCTGGAGCTTTAACATGGTTGATGGACATAGATCTACCTAGAGGAGTTGGAAAACCCTGGTCCCAAACCAATCGTGCACATGAACTCCAGGATCCTGAGTGAACAAATGACGTATGAACCAATTATTGGTCACCGGCTATCATGGGACTGCATCTCCTGACGTTGCTCCATTGCCTTGTGGATTAGACCTCTAGGTCGAAGGCACGGGGTATGGCTCCCTAAGAAAACCATCTGATTTGGTTTGAGCACCCGAGAAGTATCCCAGCCCTGACTCAAATCAAATGATGATTACTGGAAAAATTATTTTTGTGGGTGAAACAGTAAATAAATGGATATTTGAAGTCGACTTTTATGCTTGGCGAGCATACCTAGTAGCAGTAGAGCGACTTAAAACGTACTTGTGTCGCACGCTCGCATTCTACTTGAACCCTTAGACTTCTGTCATTCTGGAGGTACCTGAAAAGGGAATTGGATTAAAGGTGGTCTTAATGACCTAAGAGCGCGACCACAGTGCCCAAACGACAATTGATTGAGGTCGTGTTAGCTCTGTAATTGTTGAGACCTTACCGCCGGACGGTTATCCGAGGGATAAGGCGAGGTGTGCATTTTTAGGCTCGACTTTTTCTCACCTCCCCTTGTGGGGAGGCAGCATTGCTGTTGTGCTGATTGTCTGAAGGAGACACCTTACTGACGTCCCACCTCGGTACAATCAGCAATACGACTTCGTCTTCGGACCTTGGGTTTGCTGCTTTTAGTCTTATCATTCTTCAACCAACCTGTCTGGCATGGTAGAACCTTGAGGAACGATTGTTCACGCCAGTATAGCTCGATTGGTTCATCATGATAGGCAAGCCCGACCACCACGTCAAAGTAGCAACAAAGGTCGGGATACATGTGCCTAGTCCTACGTTGTAGCTGACTGACTTCAGACTTCTGTTAACGATGTGTGAAGCTGTTTTCAAAATCTACTTTAAGTATGCATAGTACATTCACGGGAATATTTTGAACTCTTCAAACTTAAATGTGAACTTTCCCTCATTCGCCAAATCTCGAAACGAAGTCAGACGTATTTTGAACCGTTGATTCGGGCGAAAAACCTTAGCTAATACCCACAAACGCCCTGATACGGTCGAGGGCTGAGAGTCACCCTCCTTATCGAAATGCTCTCATATGGTCGCGTGCACACAACTACTGTCAGAGAAGTCCTACTCACTGCTCACTACTCAACTACTTCTATCTATTAATTACCCAGGGTGGGTGCAGGTTCAGGGTCCTATCAGTCTTGTAGAAGTATCGCGTACTTGGAAGGTGCAAAGCACGTGCCATACCTCCAGACACTAACTGCCAACTCATTAAGTGTGGATTGCATGGATTGGGTATTATTGCACAATATCATCCGCATACTTAAGTTCGAAAAAACTTTCTGAAAGTATCAGATCCACACCACCACTCCCTACATCCACTAGAGCCGTTTCCAGAACGTCATCCAAATGTCCTGGTATGGTCGAGGGTGGGTAGAGTTCGCTCTCCCTCTCCAAATGCACTCATACAGCAACATGTATACAACCGCTGTCAGGGAAGTCTTACTCACTGCTTTCTCGCATTCAAAGTGTTTACGAAATTGAGAGGACGAAAAGCGAATGTCTGGAGCTTTAACATGGTTGATGGACATAGATCTACCTAGAGGAGTTGGAAAACCCTGGTCCCAAACCAATCGTGCACATGAACTCCAGGATCCTGAGTGAACAAATGACGTATGAACCAATTATTGGTCACCGGCTATCACGGGACTGCATCTCCTGACGTTGCTCCATCGCCTTGTGGACTAGACATTTAGGTCGACGACTCCGAGTGTGGCCCTGAGAAAAATACCTGCCTTGGTTTGAGCACCCGGGCAGTATCCCAGCCCTCACACAAATTGAACGATTTACGTGGCGCACATCTAACTTGTACCAGTGTTTGTGAATAAATCCGTGCCAGGTTAGCCTTTTGTTTTATTGTACAGTATATGAACTGTTAATTAAGAACCAAGTAATATGATTTGCGCAGTTACAACGGGGCTGACTAGGTAGTGTATACAGTTAACTTGAAACTGATGGGTTGTTGGAGTGAATTTCATTCTACTTATCTAGGATGAGACACTTAGGAATCATTAATGCTTAATAGTGTGCTCACGTGTTCATTTCAGTTTTATTTGAAAACTTCTCGAAAAACTAATTGAAATGAAGGCAGACAAGGTAAAGCAAAGAAACTTGAATGAATCAACAAATATAAGATCTATCCTGCAAAAAAGCTTAGGGGACAAATGTATTAACTGGTAAAAAAAGGTTACTTGAAGATAAAATATCTATAGGACTACCGTGTTGAGATTAAAGGGGGAAAAGAGACACGCGTACTTCAACACCATGGACACCAGCAAACCGTGTGAATAAAGAAATGCTGAGTGACAGATAAATCGAATTCGAGCAGTTTTCCCAACAAAGGTGTGGCAAGCGTGAATATCACATATGAAAGAAGTAATAAGTCGTACAAAATTTATCCCATCTCCAGTATTGGACACCAAAAGGCCCTACTGAAGTATAATTCTATGAAGGTAGGAAAATGACAGGTGAGGACAATCAAAGGATATATATAGTCATATCGTACGTTTCATAAGACATGAAGAATTACGCAGGGTTAAGATTTTGTAAACAGAACATCCGCATTGCAATTACTTACCCTCTAGTAATCTACCAATGACACTATCAATGTTCACCTTATCATCCCCTGCCATTGTCTCACGAGAAAATCGAAACTATGTTGACAGTACCGCCAGGTTCTTTTAAATCACCAAATGTTCATTGAAAAGAATTTTGCAAAGGATGAAATTGAAATACATTTTATTCAAAGTATCTCTTTATATGTGATTCGGATTCTTGTAATCAGGTTCTACAATCATTTACTGGTGCTTAATCGCAGTTTTGGAAGGACAGAAGACTAAAAGGATTGTGTTATTCCTTACTTCACACACTTATCTCTTGAATGCGTCTAACGAAGGTTCTGTAGGAACCCGATGAGACCAAAAGTTTCAGCCACCGATGTTTAACCCGGAAGACCTGTATTTTGTTCCATCCTTATGATGTCTTTAAAAATCCAAGTGCTTACAGACAGCTAACCCGTTTATACTTCTTAGATTCCCCACAATCTCACTGGGGCGGAACCAGCTTTATTTGTGAGTGAGTCCTAAAACAATTAGTGGCCCTCTGTCTTCAACACAGACGACAGCCTTGTTAGTGTTACTGGATTCTTCCTCAGCCGAAGGGGCTTGATTTTCCTTTCTCACGAGATAAAATTTGGGTACTTCGTGCAGCTTATTTCACGTGACAACTGGTCAGATAATACTTTAAACCCTACGACACCTCGGGACTCTGTATTCCGCAAATCAATCTACTGAATTCTTTGCCTGTATTTCTGTATAAATATATGCTTTCCATACATTCGGTCTGATGTTACAGTTCGTCATTATTGTAGCGTCCTTTAAAGTCTAAAAAGTAGCTCTCGTGGGTACAACTGGAATCTTAACTCGAATCAAACACTGAACTTGTCATAGAAATGTTATGAGACAACCGTTTCTTGCAATTTGCATTGAAGTTAATGACAAAGAAGTATGATCATCATATCAATGCTTCAAATCCTGAATCAAAACACTCTGCTATATTGAAATGACGGAGGAAAAATACCTGTAGTAACCTCTAATATTGTCACTGGCTATAATACAGGTACCTAATCTCCAAAGACGTATATTCTTGGGATTGGCTCTAGGCGTTGTAACGAGTATGTAAATATTCCAGATGTACTAATACTGCTTCCAGAATATTTTTAGAGCTTGAAGTGGCTGTTTGAAGATCGAAAACCCCAATACTTGTGAGTGAAATCACAAATTACGCCAACATAATTTAGTTCTTACTTTCACAGGCCACTCAGAAAAGCTAGTTTTGATTGGGGAGATCTGATCGACCAATCACGTTGTTGGATCCAAATTCTGCATTGTTTCAGACTATTTGTACAGTTGATGGTATGAAAGTTACGTTCTCTCAAGTCCAATAATCCAAAAGACGAAGGTAGCCAGTGACTTCCTTATAATAACATAATAAGCGTTCAAAACAATATGGAAGAGACATATTAAAGATAGGTACAGAAACGTAATAAAACTCGATCATCAAGACGGGAAAATATCACTATGTCAAGTAATAATATCGTACATAAAGATAAAAGTAGAACGGTACAGCTTGTTCCAAAGATAAGCTCCAACCACCTATCCTTAATACCCACATGCTTACGTCCCTCTTTCCTCTCAAGAGTGTATACAGATGTTCTCGGACGTCTATGTGGGTGTTCGCTTGACATAACTCTCATTCCAGAGTAATGTAATAATAAATGGGATTAATGTTCACAACGAATGTAGCCATTAATTTCAGTCACTTACTGCATAAAACTGATGTTATCATGAGTGCTGGTTATCTCCACAGCATCCATTGCGTTGGGGTGGTCTTAGGTGCTAGCCAATGTCCACCCTATGTGGGCACATGAAAAGCTTAATCAAGTATGAGTCTCTACAAGTTTCGAACGTTGACATTTTGGCAATAAAATAATCAGTATGGGATATCCTAGTGTATAGAAATTAAAATTTCTGGCTTTTCGTGACCGAATGTAAGCCACTTCTTCAAAGCACGTAGTTAAATAACGGAACCAAACGAACTTAATTTTTATTGATGTAGAGTAGAAAGTACAATGTTTAGTTCAGAGGATTTCATGATGGATCCTATTACGTCAATGTCACATCGTTCTGACCGAGTTGATTCTGATATAGATATTCCGAGCTAACAAGGGCCTCAGAGCTTACTACCAATCATGCCGAATATTTTCATTGGCAGGCCCATAACAACAAAGATTTAGTGGCTAGGTATTTAACGCAAGTAGTTACCCCTCGTTTTATTTACAGAACATGGCGGGCTAGCGACTGGGGAATTTATTTATTTAGATGGTGTTACGGAACAAACGGAGATCGAGACTCTCCTTTCAAATAAATAGCGTTTCCAACACTTGGGATTAGGCGATTTTTAATTTTCTTACTTACTTTTACTTACGCCTGTTACTCCTAATGGAGCATAGGCTGCCAACCAGAATTCTCCAACCCACTCTGTCCTAGGCCTTCTTTTCTAGTTCCATCCAATTCTTGTTCATTTTTCTCATGTCTATCTCCATTTCCCGGCTTAATGTGTTCTTTGATCTTCCTCTCCTCCTTTGGCCTTGAAGATTCCATGTGAGGGCTTGTCTTGTGACGCAGTTGGGTGCTTTCCTCAATGTGTGTCCTGTCCACTTCCAGTACTTCCTCCTGATTTCTTCCTCCGCTGGGATCTGATTTGTTTTCTCCGATAGTAAGTTGTTGCTGATGGTGACCGGACAACGGATCCGAAGTACTTTGCGTGGACAGCTGTTAATAAACATTTGTATCTTCTGGATGATCGCCTTCGTAGTTCTCCAGGTTTCCGCCCCATACAGTAGAACTGTCTTGACTTTTGTATTGAAAATCATGACCTTGGTGTTGGTTGTCAGTTATTTTGGGTTCCAAATATGCATTAATTGTAGATATACTGCTTTTGCCTTGACGATCTGCGGCTTTACATCTGCGTCAGATCCACCGTGCCCAGATATGTAAAGATTTTTACATATTCCAAATCGTCTCCGTCAATTTTGATTGGATTGATGCATGCTGTGTTGTATCGGAGAACCTTGCTCTTCCCTTTGTGTTTATTGAGACTTACTGCTAATGAGGCTGCTGCTACCCTGTTCGTCTTCTCCTGAATTTCTTGTTGCGTTTGCGATAGAAGAGCCAGATCATCTGCGAAGTCTAGATCGTCCAATTTCATCCTAGACGTTCATTGTATCCCGTGCTTCTCCCCAGATGTTGACGTCTTCATGATCCAGTCGATCACTAGAAGAAAGAGAAAGGGTGAGAGTAAGCAACCTTGCCTATCACCGGTCTTTATTTCGAACGACTTTGTCAACTGTCCTCCATGCACGATTTTGCAATGCAATCCATCATATGAATTCTGTATGATATTGACTATCTTCTGAGGCACGCCATAGTGTCGAAGAATCTTCCATAGTGTTGTCCTGTCCACACTGTCAAATGCTTTTTCGTAGTCAATGAAGTTGATGTGGAGTGATGAATTCCATTCGATCGATTGTTCCACAATGATCCGTAGAGTTGCGATTTGGTCTGTACACGATCTATCCTTACGGAATCCTGCCTGTTGGTCACGAAGTTGGGCGTCTACGCAGTCCTTCATCCTGTTTAACAATACTCTATTGAAGACTTTTCCTGGTATTGAGAGAAGAGTGATGCCCCTGTAGTTATCACACTTGCTGAGATCGCCTTTCTTCGGTATTTTGATCAGAAGTCCTTCTTTCCAGTCTGTTGGTACTTCTTCCACATCTCAAATCTTATTGAAGAGAATGTGGAGTATTCTTGCAGTTGCCGCTACGTCTGCTTTTAGTGCCTCTGCTGGAATGTTGTCTGGTCCTGCTGCTTTGCCACTCTTTATTTGTCTGATGGACACGCTTATCTCTTCAATTGTTGGTAGGTCAACATTGATTGGGATGTCCGTGGGTGCTGCTTCGATGTTGGGTGGGTTCAGTGGGGCTGGTCGATTGAAGAGTTCTTTGAAGTGTTTTACCCACCTGTTTTGTTGCTCTTCAATGTTAGTGATTACCTCGCCTTCCTTGCTTTTCACTGGTCGTTCTGGTTTGCGGCGATTTCCAGAGAGTTTCTTTGTTATGTCATACAGTTGTCTCATGTTCCCTTCTCTTGCAGCCTTTTCCGCCCTCGTTGCTAAATCTTACACATATTTACGTTTGTCGGTTCTGAAGCTCTTCTTCACTTGTTTGTTTGCTTCTGTGTATTCAGCTTGTGCCTTGACTTTTTCTGCTCTTGTTCGACTGGTATTGATTGCTGCCTTCTTGTTCCTCCTTTCTTGAATCTTATCCAGTGTATCAACAGTGATCCATTCCTTGTGGTGGTGCTTCTTGTGGCCCAGGACCTCATGACATGTTGAAGTGATTGCCTCCTTTATCCCTTTCCGATTGCTTTCCATAGTAGTTCCTTCTCCATTGCGTAGATCATGAAAGGCCTGGAACTTATTGCTGAGGACTATCTTGACTTTGTTGAGTTTGTTAGAATCCTGAAGAAAGGCCGTATTGAACTTTTGTGATATTGTCCGCCTCATTTTCGAGTGCTTCTTGAGTTTCAATTTCATTTTGGCGACCAGCAAGTGATGATCTGATGCCATATCATCTCCTCTCTTGGTTCTCATGTCTTCCATCGTCCTCCTGAACGTTTTGTTGATGCAAATATGGTCGATTTGGTTTTGCGTGGTGTGATCCGGTGAAGTCCATGTGGTTTTGTGAATGCATTTGTGTGGGAATATGGTGCCGCCTATGACCAGTTTATTGAAGGCATATAAGTTTGTGGATCTCTTACCATTTTCGTTCCTTTCTCCCAGTCCGTATCGTCCCATGATGTCTTCATATCCAATGTTGTCCGTTCCAACCTTGGTATTGAAGTCTCCCATCAGAATGGTCAGGTCCTTTGTTGGGCACTTCTCGACGATTGACTGCAGCCTATTGTAGAATTGATCTTTAGCGTCTTCATTGTAGTCGTTGGTAGGCGCATAGCATTGGATGATGTTCATTGAAATGCCCTCTTTCTTTGTTTTGAATGAGGCTTTGATGATCCTTGGTCCATGAGATTCCCATCCTGTGAGTGCATTTTGTGCCTGTTTGGACAACATCAGT